AACTATAAAAAAAATTCTAACATATTCAATCTCAACAGTGAAAATAATATATAGTTTTTAGAAATTTCTTTAAATTTATAGATTTCTACCTTTTTTTAACTTCATATTTTAGCATATATTTTATTATAGTTGTTGGTGTAAAAATAAATTTATAAGAGTATCTCGAACAAATTATTTATGATTTCTCTAAAATAAAAAATAAAAAATTAAATCTTTATAAAAGGATTTTTTTTAATTTTAGTGATTTAAATATTAATTATATTACTAAAATATTATATAATTTTATCAATCTGATACCTTTTTAAAAAAGTATTTATGTAACACAATAAAAACTCAATATTATTGGCGGGATTAGAAAAATCATTTCTCACTATTCATGTCACGTTTCAAAAAGAAATTCTGTTAACTTGGAATGTTCATTATTTTGAGAGCAAATAAAGAATCATAGTATCAATTTTTTTTCTATTTTATAGAATCTGTTAGAGATACCCTAAATCTCCAAAATATGTACTTTAACTTGAAGATGCTACAAGTAACTCTTGAGTTGGCCTTTTAAGGTTCTTTTATCATATGACATTGTTTGACAAATATAAGTTAACTTGTTCTTTGAATATACGTTTGGATTAGAGATAGACAAAAATCGGTCTCGGACAGAGCCGAGCCCAAATCGGTCACAGTCCTAAACACTATTTCCCTATTTGGTTTTGGTCGAAAACGAGTCGTCCGATTAAGATATTTTGTAACCAGTTATGAGAACCGGTCCTATATAGTTATATTTTCTTTAAATTCGATATTTTACATATTCTTTTTTAAATTTATTCTTATACACTTGAAAATATGTAATTTGGTCAATCAAATCCACTTAGAAAAACATTTTATTATAATTTTATAATATATTTTTTCAATCAAATACACGAATTAAAGCGAGGAAATTGTGTACATCTCTAGATTGGATGAACATATCTGCCTTATTGAAAAACTAGTAATAGTAGTTTTTTAGGAGTTTTATATTTGCCACTTTTTTAATTATAACTCTGATTAATATTAGTTGTTATTTATTATCATTAATTATTAATAAACATTAGTTATTAATTAATAATAATTTTAATTAGTAATCACTTTTATTTATTAACTCGTTCATTTTAATTATTAGTTAATATTAATTATTAAATAATCTTAAATTTAATTTATTAATTAATTTTAATTATTAATTAAAAATAATTCCAAATTATTAATATTTAAACATGTTATGTCACTTTAGTCATTTTACATTTTTTTAATAGTTAGTTTTTTGCCAAACGTATTTATTTTATCAACTAGATTAGGGCTGTAAACGAACCGAGCGTTCAACGAACCGTTCGTGAACCGTTTGGCGGGAAGTTCGTTTATGTTCGTTTATTTAATAAATGAACGAACATGAATAATTTTTTTTGTTTGTTTAGTTAAATGAACGAACATGAACAAGAGTCTCGTTCGTTCATTTATGTTCGTGAACGTTTATTCATTTACCGTTCGTTTACGTTCATTTATATTCGTTCGTTTATGTTCGTTTATATATTAAATTTAATATATAATCTTTTATTTATTTACTTTGAATTCAAATAATATTTATTTATGTTCGTTTAACCCGTTCGTTTATGTTCGTTTAGCTCGTTCGTTTATGTTCGTTTAGCATGGTTTGTTTAGCATGTTAACGAACGAACATAAACGAACACGAACACACCTGATTTCTAAACGAACGAACACGAACACAAATACAAATATTTTCGTTCGTTTACCGTTCGTGTTCGTTCGTTTGTTCGGTTAAGTTAAACGAATGAACATGAACAAGTCTTCGTTCGGTTCGTTTACAGCCCTAAACTAGATTATCAACCATCAGTTCACTTATTCATCAGTCATCATTTAGTTTATCAACTTTCAGTTAGATTATTAGTTAGTTTACCAAACATAGCTCATGTGTGTATTACAATAAATAGAACTTTGAAATCCTTAGAGGATGCACGGGATTTCACAGGGAGGATTTATAGGATTGTATGAAATAAAGTTTTAAAAAATATTATCAATAAATAAAAATATAATTTAATTATTTTTATAAATAAAAAAATCTAATTCTACATGAAATCCTACAAACTAAACACATCAATAATTTTAAATTCATTATCCTATTAAATAATGATTTTTTTAATAGCAATGGTTGTTATTTTATATGGCATAAGTCGGCTACATCTTTTGTGTCTATCTAATCTTTGATAGTCAATCTACTCACCTCTATTTTTCTTTTTCATCATTTTAATCACGTTTCATAATTATTTATTACTTTATATTATAATTTGTATCAAAACTTATTAACAAATTTTAATGTTAATTATTCCAGTAACATTGTTTATTCAGTGTTAGCTTATAGATTTATATTTATGAAAAAAAAGCATTATACAAGATAAAATTTTTACTGTGAAAACCATATGTGTGGTGTCCGATTGGTTTGAGATTGACTTTAAAAGTCAAAAGCACCAGGAGGTTTCAAGTTCAAATCCAAGGAAGAATAAAAATCTCTTTATGGCCACGAAAGTTCAAATAAGACGATTCCGGACTATCTGCAAAAGATATATATATATATATATATATATATTATAATAAAATTTATTTTCCAAAAGATGATAGATTGGTTTTAAGATATGATTATGTGGTATGATTGAAAGGATGGATTTCTAGGAAATGGGAGCGACGACAACTTGCTTTCCTTTTTGTCGCCGAGTCAAATTATGTGGCGGATAATCACGTAATACAAGATAACGACAACAACCTTCGCTAATTTATTTTTATGTACTTATTTTTTTAATTATATGTAACAATTATTCTTCTGTGTCTATCTAACAAACTTAATTAAATAAAGACTAAGTTACGTTTTAGGTACCTGTGGTTTCTAGAAAATTTCTTTTTTTGTCTTTATGTTTTTGAAATTACAATTTTCATCCTTGTGATTTAAAATTGATTGTTCTTTTTCATCCTTATATTTACAATTCGTTTCTATTTTAGTCCTTCATGCTTAAAAATAGTGTTTTGGACGGAAATATAAATGAATTACAAATCACTAAAATCGTATTCGCACAATACATCTTGATTTTAATGTTTCGTTTTTTTGTCTCAGATGATATTATAATATAGTTTTATATGATTTTGAGAAAACTAATGTTTTTATTTTTAAATAAAATCTAAATATGAAGATATATTATAAAAAAATGAAAGAAAATATTGATATTAGTACCAAACTAACTATTTAAAATTTATTATTTTTATTTTTGATTTAATAATATAATTTTATTAAGATAATAATTACGTATTTTGTTAGAACTTAATGATTATATTAATAATATTTTGGATTTTTTATATTTAAAATGATGTTTATCACGTATTTAATTATGTTTATCTGTAGTTAGTTACACGAATTAAAACATGGAGCTTTAATAAGATGTACCCAAACACATTCTACTTGTAATCTTAAATTTTAAGTAATATACATCAATAAACAGTATTTTGCGCATAAAAAATAATTTTTAAGAATTTTTGTTAAATGTTTTATAATATAGTATAGATATGGATGAAAACAAAAGTTTTAAAACCATATAGATGAAATCTACAATTTTTAACAAACCACGTGGACGAAAAATGTAATCTACTCTTAAATAAATAAATAAAAAAAAATTTATTTTTGAAAATGGAAATGGAAATGAAAATATGAATATCTTTTATTTAGCAAAATAAAAATAAAATTATGTTTCCTTTGTTTACATGAAATATTGATATATTTCATCTTATAATTTACAAAACTATATCTCATCAGATTTTATAATGATTATTAATGTTTAGTAAAATCTTATAAATATTAAAAATCTGTTTCTCATTTCCGATCAAAGTGAAGGAAATGTGAGTATCTAATCTTTCCCATCTCGCTAAATCATTTCTTAAAAACAAAATCCCGAAATCTCCTTCCATGGTGAGTGTTTACCGGACAAAATTTCCTCATCGGATGAACATGACAATGGCCAATAATCTTACTGGGTAAGAGCGATGAGAAGGATGGAGAGTCTTACCCGGTAAGTGAAGATTACAACTCTTATCCAGGTAAGTGCTTACCCGGTAAATTGTTGCATTCAATACGTTTTTATGTACTAAAATCTTACGCAAAAAAATAAATTATGGTGTTGACTTCTATAAGTAAACACTTACCGGGTAAGCATTTGAGTAAACAACCCCTAACTTAAAATTTAGAAATACTTATTAAGATTTTAAATTATTGTCCAACTTTTAACTATTGACAACAATGATCCTCCATATTATATAATCTTTAAGCATTGAACTTACCTAGTCCCTCCTCATAAAGTTTATTACAATTTACCCCTCTTCAGAGTGTTGCATGATACTATTTGGTTCCCTCACCACTTTGGTCTTGGAATTCCCTATCTATCCGTTTGGTC